CCAACGGAGATGTCTCTATTTCACGATTAAATGTTCACTTTGCATGTCTTGAAATGGAGATCTCTTTTGCGGGATTAAATGCTAACTCTGCTCGCCATACTCCATGGCTCAAATAATATGAATTTATTAAGAGGATACGATGCTGAGAATTTCTATGTGATTGACAGAAACATGTAACCAGTTCCCAGATAATTCTCGAGACAGGAAATGGAGGCTGGGCCTACAAAATTTCATAGATCCCACCCCCAACGGCAGCAGATGGAGACTTATGACAGACATTGAACGCTATGGTGTAACTGCCAGACGCTTAATTCGCTGGAATTAACACGACGTAATGCGCCTGTGTACATTGATAGACGAAAATGAAGAGTGGGCACATTCGCTCTTTTAAGTAAAAGAAAAACCGACATCGACAGTGTACCGCGTTAACAGCGAACGCGTTTGCTTCCACATGGGACCGAATATAATCCGTACAATTGGTAAGCTGTTAGTTCAGTGATTTATTTTAAAATGTGCTAGGCTGCTGAACAATTCGTAAGTTATGCTCAGTGGCGTAAATTTGTGCTGGAAATGAGTGGCTGGGTACTGGGGTGGGGAACAGTCAGGGGTTGTCTTACCTGGCCATGGAAATTTGAAAAGCGGGGGGGGGGACCATATATACATGTTGAAAAACGCTGGCCGTAACACTGACCCTTGCGGAACTCCATATTCTAACAGATAATCTGAGAAATGTCCTTCTGTAAGAACTTTACTCGTCTGAGTTCTATTACTAAGATAGGATTTAAACCGATAGTATATTTTGTCTCATCCCAATAGAGTTAAGTCCTTTTAACAATATTACAATGATCCAAGGCATCCAAGCCAGTACTAAGATTAAAAGAAACCACAATAATCTTGCCGGCGGCTGTCATTATTTAAAAGAATGTCTTTTTTTAAATACGCGTTAAAGCCGTGTCTCTCCCATGACAACTACGATATGCTGACTTAAATTTTTCATTGAAATCCGTACGCGGACATATGAGAGGTTAACTGATGAGCAACAACCTTCTCTAAAATTTTACTGACAAAAGGGAAATATGTAATAGGTCGATAATTACCAAGATGTTCTACACCATGAACGGCAGATTTGTACTTAAAAATAGGAGTAACAGGAGCCAACTTTAATTGTTCCGGAACTAGCCAAGTAACAATAGATGAATTTATGATTGATATAATTGATTCGAGTAAGTGTGGAAGAAGCAACTTTAACAATTTAGTATATACTGCCTTTAGGTCAGGTCATTAGAAAACATGGCTTTACATATTATTTTCATGCAGATGACTCAATGCTCTTCATTTCGTCTAATTACATGGTTAAATACTGATAAAACCAAGATTTCAATTTTTGGAACTCCTGTGACTTTGAAAGAAAATCCACTAGTTTATACACATGTTGGGGATTACCAAATTAAAACAGTTGACAAATTGAAGCATCTTTTTGTTTTTATGGACCATGATTTGGATATGCGGGATCATATTCGAATAATATCTAGAAATGCTTTCTATCATTTACATAATATCAGCATAATCAAACGATACGTTAATTATCCTACTTTAAAGATGTTAGTTGTTATGTTAGTGATGTCCCGTATCGGCTATTGTAATTCATTGTTTGCTGGGTTGCCTTAATCCACTCTTAATCCATTACAACATGGTTCAAAATTGTGCTATTAGACTTTTATCAGGTACAAAGAAAACTTAACATATTACTACAATTTTGTTTAAACTACATTGGCTTCCCATAAGTTACAGATTTTTGAGTATATAAACTGCCTTCTTGTGTTTAAATGGACTTGCTTCCAGATATCTTCAAGATTTACTCAAAACAGTCAGTTTGAACACACGATCATCATCTGATCAAACTAGATTAAGTTGTAAAAGAAAACAGATTGCAAAGTTTTGGAGAGCGAGCCTTTTCTGTAGTAGCGACAAAATGTTGGAATATATTGGACAGAAGTGTCAGGGAGATTGAGACCTGAATGACTTCAGCGTAAATTGAAAACTGTTAGAGCGGCATTTTCAGATTCATTGAAGGATTAAATTTTATACTTGTGTGGTTTTAGATGTCGCATGTAACTTAATGTTTATAATTGCAGTTATTATCTTAAGTATCATACTGTTTAATTTCTATGGATTGCTCTGTTTCTATTGTGTTTATTGTACAATGTACTTTGTATGCACGTCTTGAAGCATCTTTATATTTATATGTTATTACTATTATTATTCTACACCCCCCCCCGGATTTACAACTATCGTTACAATGTAATATTATTTTTATGATATTTTGGTTGATATATAGTCTTTCTTTTAACAATAAAGCAAATTCTTTGCTTTCAACTAAACAGCCATCCACTTCCCATCTGCCTTTCATGGACATCATCGGTGGCTGGTGTCTCCAGCAGGAACAGGGGACTGAGCTGCCCGAGATATGTGGCCTTTTTTATTGACAGCACCTGCATCTAAGGAAAGCTACTATCCTTCTCTTGGGGAGGGAAGGTGAGAATTTGTTTAAGAATAAAAAACAAATTTTAGACGGATCAAACTTTTATTTAGAAAAGAACTTTCATTTTATTTTCAGTTGAGTCTGTTCTGGCAAAGATCAGAGACGTCGATCATTGCAACAAAAAGCTTTCATTTTAAAATAAACCAACAGGAGCCGAAGCAGCAGAATTTTTCAAGGCCTGAAATCTTGCAGTCCGTACCGGTATGCTGGTATCAGCCGTTTGCTGTAAACGAAAGTACGCAGAACAAGCGCAGACTTCATCGCCCTTGATGAACAATACCGTTTTATCTTGAGTAACACGTACATGTATATTCTTGCTGTTAGTGTACGTGTGTGCCGACTCCTGTGTACATGTATGTTCACACTAGCGTTGCATATCATACAGTCATGCACTAATAACACCACATCATATCATCGTGTACATCTGGTTGTGCACGACGTCTGGTGTTAACAGAGGAGTTGGGGTAGGGGTTGGGGCAGGCCCGTTGCCTGACCAGAGGCCGGGGGGGAGGTCGTCAAACCCAAAAGTGGAACTTTTGGCATTATTTTATACCCAGGCCTATTATAATGTGCTTAAGAGCATAACATGAAATTGTATGAATAGAATTATTAAAATGCATTTATTTGCCGAAATCAGAAGCGAGCGGGGGCAGCCTACGGACCTGGGGGTTGGAGGGCGGCGTAGGAAGGAGGAATACTAGGCTGCTGGATGATGCATGGTACGGGAACGACGTGTACACGCCGCCCAAGACGTCCATAGAGTCAAATCGCAAGTATATGATTGCATCTCTATTATTTTTTCTCGGTCTTCTGTGACTTGTCACTTTAAGTTTTCAACTTAAAATTGACCCTGATGTCCTTAGCGACGAAGACGCTGTATCCTTTACGTCGTGGCAAGTCCCATTGGGCCAACGCATCAATAGACGCGTGCTAACTTTTCGTTTGCCCGTTGTTAAATAAACTAAACATTAAGACCAAGAATCCATCGTGTTAGGCAATTCTTTTTATCTAGTACTTGATGATGTTGGTGTTATCTTCGCTTTAGGGAAAGGTCTCCACTTTATTCCCACCCTGCTAAACCAAACCGCACCACCCTTATAAGTGACATGACACTTTTAATCAAAGACAAAGTATTGCATTCCAAATGCATAAAAACGATCTAAAATCCATCCTTTCCTTTCAATCAATCCGGCATCCAAAATCAACACCTCGTGCAACACTGGAAGAATACTTGGAAGCCACCAAATTCATGCCGAACACCAAGGCTGATAAATAATACAATGGATGCAATGAACCGCCCACATCAAAACAAACAAGTCTTCGTTACCACCTACAACCCATACCAATGTGATCTACATCAAACAATAAACAGACATGAGCACCACATTCAAAGCAATGCTCCATCCTCAGAAATCCTTCTGAAACCTCCATTCATTGCTTTGAAGCCCAAACATCCGAGAAAAACTAGTGAGAGCCCAGCCCAATCCCCACAGACTCGGGCTTCTTTGAACACCAGAATATGAGGCAACACTCAATATACTGCTCTCCCTCACTGAAAAAACAAACCGAAATCCAAGGGCTTGCTTATAACAACAAAAAATGGATGCCATTGGCTCACAAACTCTATCCCTAACCACCTGCGAATTCGAATGATTCCATCTCTGGAATCACCCATAATGCAACTGATGATGAGTCCCATACGAAGGGACGATCATGCTATTGCTACCAAGGGGGTTCAAAAAACAGTCCTCTACTCGCACCACCAGTCAACCGACAAAAAAGCTGAACAATTGGTGATGTTCTTATGCCCGCTCATAATCCAATTCTCGGACATAAAAAGGCCAGATTTTTTACATACGCCAACCAGGAGTTACTGAAAGTCACGAGAAACGGAGTGTCACTGAATGGTTTTGAAAGTACCATCATCTTTTCACACTACAGTACTTCAACAAATCAACTCTCTCAATAGGAACAGTATTTTTAGTTATCTAAACACAAAACTAGTGTTCTTTTACTTGATTAAGAAGTTACCACGACAAATACGTCAAAATTCCCGAGTACCACTTAATAACCACACTGTATCTTTACCACATGTACTCCCCAAAGTTGAGGATATGATAAGGGCCTAACCACGTCCTTCAGGACTTGAGGACCAAACCGCCGAGCCTGCCTGCTTCATGATCAAGATTCTAAAAAATGTCGATTTTCAAAAGTATCATTATCACTGCCAAGTTAACATGCCTTGGTCAAGTTTCAGGCGTGACCAAGAAATCGCCAAAGACGTTGAAATTAATCTAATTTTTCAGTATTATATTTCATTCACCATCCCACAAAATAATTAGGTACAAAAATATTTGGTTTTACCAGGCAGAATCCGAGATCATCTCATAAATCCATCAAACAAACGGGCTTCAGTTCGCTGATTCGCCCTAAATATAGAGCAGTGAGGTTAACACGCTTCATGCTCCTCAGGCCTTACGGGAATGACATGTTACATTTATTTCTACATCAATTGCAATTGAATAATTAGATTTGTTCTACACCAGGGATGGCTAAATCAGGCTTAAAACAACATATGTTTCAGCATAGCATGACAAAAGATACCGTTGTTAAAAATTTGAGGTTACATGGCCCTCTGAGGATGTGAAGGGCGAAGAACAACTCGAAACCTGAATCTCGTTAAGGTATTGGAGTTCCTTTACTGATGAACTACTTGTTAATGAAACGCTTAAAAGTTAATTTGTTGAGTTTAAAAACAGTTCAATTACAAAGCCGGATGGTGTTGCTTCTTATTTGAAATTTGGAGACGGTTATGTGGTGAAACACATATGCAAAACTCAATTTCTAGTGCACGTCTATACCCCCATGGGCCGGTGAGTGACCAGGATGGACTGGCATAATTCAGTTACTAGTGCACGTCTATTTCATCCCCCAATGGACCTGAGTGACCACAGGAGGGTCTTCTGGTCAGTCCCTTGGAGTACAAAGAATCTGGACGTGCACTAGTGACCACACTGCCTCACCATACATGCATGTGTACGGTACTGAAAAAAGTTATTAGGTTCGTATTTCCAGGTTTTTATTTTTGCAGACTGTTTTTAATGTAAACCTTAAACGGCTACGATTATCAGCTGCATACTTCCATAATGTGAATCCTTATAAGAATTTGAAACGAAGAAAGTAAATGAAAGTGCATTTTGCAAATTTGGAATCAAACATATCAACTCTATCCACCTGGTTTGGAAACAGTTTTCAGAAACTGTTTAATCTCACCCAAAGATATACTTTTAAACAATTTCATTTTTCTCTTCAGGAATCAGCTTTTATCTTTTAGAATAGCTTTATGTCAATTGCTTTTAGCAAACAAATTGTTAAGATGATAGTGAATGTCCAAAAACTAAACAAATGACATAGACACTCTGTAGCTTTGCTTTTCCGTGAAAAGTCAAATTTTTCCTGAATATCTATAATATTTTTGGAAGTCCGAGTAGAATGTCTTGAAGATTTCCCTGAGATTGCGGGGCAAGTTGGCATTGAGATAATCTACTGCTCTCTCATCACATACGTCCAGGAGATTGTAGACACCAGTCACCAAAGCTTTCTGGTTGGACCAACCAAAAAAGAAAAGAAATACAGAAAAACAAATTGTTCTATTTACTGGAAAACTGAGATGAATATGGTGTTAATTTTAACGAATGGTGATCACTTTTTTTAAGAAGTGCATGTCAGATTTAATGCCGCGATTGGTGTTAGCTCTGTGTATTCATTCATTGAGAAGTACAGATATTGTTATGAATACAAACATGAAAGACAAGGCACTTCTCTGACGTCAACCAGCTTCAAAATAATACAAAAATTGGGTTCCAGGACCTATCATAAGGGGTTTTGTTTTGATTAACCATTCTTAAGAAACAAATCAAGGTTCCTTGCGATTTCGTGGTTACGATAAGTAACCACAAACATACATTTGGGGGACCTATTCAGCTTGATCACAATGCATCATTCCAAGGCATCTCTGCCATGCAAGTAGCCGGGAGAGGGGGAACCACTTTCTTCAGGGAGGGGGTCTAAAGCACTCATCATCGACCAAATGTTCACTCTGAACAGCAGAAAGAGGTGAATTTTTAAGCCGGGACTTTACTTGAGGGCTTACTTTGAAGAACGGAAGCAGCGTTCCCTGCTCCAGCTCAGCGATGTAATCCGAGACCAGAAAGACGGCGAGCTGTTTGATCTCATTCTTGTGGCTGGCGAGCTGCGTCAGCAACCTGCCATAAAAGTCAGAATTCATTGTTACCTTGAAAAAGAGATGAGAAATGATGGGGGAGGGGATCATCGTGGAGTTCCACTAGTCTGGATGGCATTTTTGACCAGTGATTTAAATGATATCTCCAAATTCTCCAACATGAGTGTTCAAAGGCTGATACTTGTTGGCAGAAGCAGAGGGCTGTATACCTCACTATTATTCAATTTAGAGCCTCCAAACTACATTGGAGGCAAAGTTAAATACATTGGACAGAAAGCCCCCAAAAAACCAAAGCTGCACCCTTCGTGGAACTTTTCTGATGAGAAACTGGGGATTATTTCATTGCCAAGCAGTTCTTTGTCACTAACGTGCTATGTGGTAGTGTATAAAAATGGTGGATCAGTAGCATCGACTTACCCAGTGTTGAGGTTGACACCTTTTAAGACCAACACGAGACCCCAAAAGAACACAGGACCAATAGAAGTACCTCCAGCCCGAATTCAAGTCACAAGCTATTCATATGAACTGCAAAGAAAGCATCCTTTCATTGCCGTCCAGCCTGTAACTTGTGATTGTTCATTTGACTGGTGTTATGTCTGGTCTTGTGTTTAGTGTTGTGACTGGTTTTGTGTCTGGTCTTGAATCTGGCTTTGTGAATAGGCTTGTGACTGGTCTTGTGTCTGGTCTTGTTTGGGGTTTTGTGTCTGGTCTTGTGTCTGGTCTTGTTTGGGGTTTTGTGTCTGGTCTTGTTTGGGGTTTTGTGTCTGATCTTGTGTCTGGTCTTGTGACTGGTCTTGTGACTGGTCTTGTGAC